ATTCTTATTGCCATTTTGTTAATTGTTTTGGATTTGTTTTTGTAGGTCTTTTTTATTCCTTTCCTCTTTTATTCTGTTATCCTGTGATTTGATGACTATCTTTAGTATTGTGTTTGGATTCCTTTTTCTTTTGTGTGTGGTGGTATATCTATTATAGATTTTTGGTTTGTGGTCACCATGAGGTTTTGATATAGAAGTCTGTATATATATATGATTGTTTTAAGTTGCCAGTCTCTTTTGCTTAACATTTATTTATTTATTTGGCTGCGCCAAGTCTTAGTTGTGGCACACAGCATCTTCGTTGCAGCATGCAGGATCTTTAGTCACAGCATGTGGGATCTTTAGTTGCAGCATGCGGGCTCTTAGTTGCAGCATGTGGGATCTAGTTCCCTGACCAGGGATTGAACCTGGGCCCTCCTGCATTGGGAGCATGGAGTCTTAACCACTGGACCACCAGGGAGGTCCCAAATTGCTGGTCTCTTAATTTCAGATATCCTGCATTTGCACTCTTCTCATGATTACTGGTTTAGATGTTATATTTGTATGTGAATGATTTCCTACCTTTACTATATGTTTGCCTTTACTAGTGACCTTTCCCAATTTGTAGGTTTCGTGTTTCTAGTTGTGGCCTTTTCTGCCTAGAGAAGTTCTTTTAGCATTTGTTATATAGCTGGTTTGGTGGTGCTGAATTCTTTTAGCTTCTGCTTATCTGTAAAGCTTTTGATTTCTCCATCAAATCTGACAGCCTTGCTGGGTAGCGTATTCTTGGTTGTAGGTTTTTCCCTTTCATCACTTTAAATGTATTGTGCCATCCCCTCTGGCCTGCAGAGTTTCTGCTGGAAAATTAGCTGATAACCTTATGGGGATTCCATTACATGTTATTTGCTGGTTTCCCTGGCTGCTTTTAATATTTTCTCTTTATCTTTAATTTTCATCAGTTTGATTACTATGTGTCTCAGCATGTCCCTCCTTGGGTTAATCCTATATGAGACTCTCTGCACTTCCTGGACTTGGGTGACTTTCCTTTCTGTTGTTAGGGAAGTTTTCAGCTATTATCTCTTCAAATACTTTCTCAGGCTCTTTCTTTCTCTTCTCCTTCTGGGACCCCTATAATGTGAATGTTGGTGCATTTGATGTTGTCCCAGAGGTCTCTTAAACTGTCCTCATTTCTTTTTCTTTATTCTGTTCCATGGCAGTGATTTCCACCATTCTGTCTTCCAGCTCACTTATCCATTCTTCTGCCTCATATATTCTGCTATTGATTCCTTCTAGTGTGTTTTTCATTGCAGCTATTGTATTCTTCAACTCTGGTTGTTCTTTATGTTTTCTAACTCTTTGTTAAAAACTTCTTGTAGCTTATCGCTCTGTGCATCCATTCTTTCCCTGAGTTCTTGGATCATCGTTATGATCACTACTCTGAACTCTTCCTCAGGTAGATAGCCTATCTCTGTGTCACTTAGTTGTTCTTCTGGGGTTTTGACTTGTTCTTTTGTCTGGAACATATTCCTTTGCTATCTCATTTTGTCTACATTTATATTTGTATTTTTATATATATGGAAGGTTATGTTTCTCAACCTTGGATAAGGGGCCCTCTATGGGAGGTGTCCTATGAGTCCCAGCAGTACACTTGCCTCTTGTCACCCAAGGGCCAGGGACCAGCTGGTCCCAAGGTAGGTTATGATCTATGTCTGCTGACTTGGTTCCACAGGCTGCCGGATCTTAGATTTCGTGCTTCTGGTGTCTGCCCCTGGTGGGTGAGGCTGGTCTAGAGGCTTGTGCAGGCTTCCTGGTGGGAGGGGCCAGTGCCTGGGCACTGGTGGGTGGAGCTGGGTCTTGGCCCTCTGGTGGGTGGGGCCATGTCTAGGGGCATGTCAAGAGGTGGCTGTGGGCCCAGGACCTTGTTAGGCAGCCTGTCTGCTGATGGGTGGGGCTGTGTTCCTGCCCTATTGTTTGGCCTGAGGCGTCCCAGCACTGGAGTCCACAGGCTTTTGGGGTGGGCCAGGTCTTGGTCCCAAAATGGCAGTCTCCAGGACAGTTCACACTGATGGATGCTCCCCAGTAGGCCCACCACTGGTGTCTTTGTCCTCACAGTGAGCCACAGCTGCCCTCCACCTTCCCAGGAGACCCTCTAAGACCAGCAGGTAGGTCTGGCCCAGGCTCCTATGAAGTCACTGCTTTTGCCCTGGGTCCTGGTGCGCATGAGACCTTGTGTGTACCCTCCCAGAGTGGAGTCTGTTTCCCCCAGTCCTGTGGAGCTCCTGCACTCAAGTGCTGCTGGCCTTCAAAGCCAAATGCCCTGGGGGCTCCTTCTCCTGATGCCAGACCCCCCGGCTGAGGAGCCTCACGAGGGGCTCAGAACTCTCCTGTGGTAGAACTTTTGTCATATAATTGTTCCCCAGTTTGTGGGTTGCCGACCCGGGGGTTATGAGATTTGATTATATCGTGTGTGTCTCTCCTACCATCTTGTTGGGTTTCTTCTTTATGTCTTTGGATGTAGAACATCTTTTTGGTAGGTTCCAGTCTTTTTAATTTTTTTTTTTCAGTCTTTTTCATTTTTAATCTCCTCATAAGAGAAGATGAGCTCAAGGTCCTTCTGTTCTGCCATCTTGTGTTTTGTGAAAATGTGGCTCCTTTCTTGTCCATGTAATTGACATAAGGTGGCACTCAAGTTTGCATTCTCAGTAGAGTTGGGAAGTAAACTGGTCCATTAAGGTTACTCCTTTTCTTCTGGTTGTAAGACACGCAATTCCAGGGTAGAAAAGTAACTTCCAACTAAGCAAGGCCTCTTTGGGGTAATGGCAGCTTGTTAAAGGCTTCTCTCCCCTCCTGTTTCCCCGGATGGTGATGTGGAGCTCAGCTGGGGCACCCACCCTGTCTAGACTACAGGTGGCATCTCACATGCTATCTTCAGGCCTGGGTCTCTGTCCTAGTGAATCTACTGAGGATGTGCTGGGCTCAAGGGGCTTTTGGGCCCCACCAGGGTCCCCAAGGGGCAATGAGTAATTTCTGAGGTGTCTCCTATTCAGTCAGGTATTGCCTGGAACTCGAGAGTCACATCTTTCACTTACATTAAAGAGCAAATGCTGTTGCAATCATTAACACATTGTGGACAAGGCTTGGAGAATTACAACTTTTGTTTCTTCGTTAGATTTATTTTTCTCCCAAACAAAAGAAGAGTTTCATAGAGGTAGACTGGTCATTTTTTACAGTGAAGTAATTCAAGTAAGCAATTTTCTGCATCTTTAAAATAAATGTTGGGCTTCCCTGGTGGCGCAGTGGTTGAGAGTCCGCCTGCCGATGCAGGGGACACGGGTTCATGCCCCGGTCCGGGAGGATCCCACATGCCACAGAGCGGCTGGGCCCGTGGGCCATGGCTGCTGGGCCTGCGCATCTGGAGCCTGTGCTCCGCGGCGGGAGAGGCCACAGCAGTGAGAGGCCCGCGTACCGCAAAAAAAAAAAAGAAAAAAAAAATTGACTCGAATCACTCAAAAAATATGAGTTTTTAATTGGTAAAGACAAATATTTCATTGGTATTAATTATAATCAAGCCCTTGCCATTTTTCCATGTAGGATAAGTAAATGTTCCTTTGTTAATAAATGGCTAAAAATCATATAACAAATGGTTTATTTACATATTTACATATGGAATATAAGGATAGAAAAAAGACTGAAGCAATATGTTAGCAATTATTATCTCTGGGTAGTGAATCTCCAGGTGCTTTTTATTTTCCATTGTATACTCTTCTGTATTTTGCAGATTTTCTATAAGGGGAATGTATTCTTTTTATAATATTTTAAAATCCATTATATACTATGTATACCAATAACTACTATGCAAATAAATGCACAGGAAAAAGACTATAGAATGAAATGAGCCAAAGGGAGTCTTTCATTCATCCATTCATTCATTCATTCATTCATCCAACAGATACTTATTGAGCACCTACTATACCAGGGTCATGGCAAGTTTTGAGCACTGCTGTCTTCAGGAATGAACTTTTAGTTCATTTCTCTTCTTTCTTTTGTACTGCTTAAAAGTTTTATTGTGAATATGTTTTTACTTATAAAATGACAGGGCATTATAATTATTTTTAAAAGATTCAGCTAGAGCTGTAGTTCAGAAAGGAGTGTGTTGGTATAACTGTGTAGACATGTTTTAACAGATGAGCTTTTGAGATATTCACTTATTTTTGAAGTAACATTGGTATTCCCCATAAAGGCTTTTTCTTGCTCCTTGTAAAATTAATTCCTTTAGCAAACAGAAGCCATAATTTTTAGAAAAAAATTATTTTTATTAGTGAGATTTTATATTACTTTCAACATCTGCCTATCTTGATATAAGTAACTATACTTTTTCTGAAGAGCAAAATTTTACATGTTTATTTACTTTTGTTTAAATGTCTGTCTTTTTTATTTCAATAATGGGTTTGGGGTAATAAAAATATACAAATGTATAGTGTAAAATGAATTTGAAATTATATAAATACAAACTACATCATGTCTTTTTGCAAATAAGATTTATCTTTAGATTTATCTTTTTCACTCTTTTTCTTCTGTTTTTCTTCTGCTTGTTTTTCAAAATAATCTTTAAGGAGATGGTTCAGCTGTGGTTCATACTGGCTTGCATGTTGCAATCCATCTTCCCTCCCTTAGAAAGACACAAAACATGAGACAACTATACTTTACAGTAGTTTCCATATTATCATTTCACTCATCTCCCATAGTGGCAAATTCAGAGCTGTTCCTACCTGAACCACCCCAAGCACTAACCCAAAAGTCAGTTTTAATTCAAAATGCTTGAATTAAATACATTTTTATTTTACCTTCACAGTGTTGGATCACACGCCCCCATAGTCGATTTTTCCTCAGACAGGCTAAATTTCCTACAATCAACAAATGCCTCCTTCCTCTGGTCAATGCAACATTCATTCTTTTTTCTGAATCAATAAATCCTACTTGTCTGGTCCTTACGCAGGACAGAATAATGATCTCCTTTTCAGCTCCCTGAAAAGCATCTACTGTGGACACCTGCACAGCTTTCGTATCAGTATGGTCGAAGTCCACAGCACTGAGTAAATGACAGAGCTGTGGAGGAAAGAAGACAAGGCTCATGTGGTGCAGACGTCATGAAGAACCTACGCCTCTCAACCTACCCACAGCAGCTGTCATCATTTAACTAATAGTGGGTAATTTTCATTTTCTTTTTTATTACTCACAGAGATTTGGCTAATTTCTGAAATGATAAATAACTAATGATAATGTAAGTTATGAAACAAAATCAAAGTGATGATTTATCTTTTGCTAGGAAACTTATTTAGATATGCTAATTTAGAGCTGATAAACTAAATGAAACAGATGAAAAATACTAAAAATAAATAAATATAAATGAAAACTAGTTAGAAGTAACTGGCTTGTGTGTAGATTAATATCTGGTATCTATCTTTGATTTACTGATAAAATGTAATAATAATGAAAGAACATTTTGGAAAACAGATTCAATCCCATCTGTCCCAAAACACAAAGCATATACCATATTTCCTTCCCTCTAATTTGTTTATTTGCATTTTTGCCCCAACAGCTGTAAACTGAATTTAATTAAACCTTGTTAGGTTTACATTTAATTATACAGAAAAAAAGCCAGACTAGACAAAAGTCTGAATGCTGTTTTAATATAGTAACTACGGTCCCCAAAGTTTTTCTAGCACCAAACCAACACAAACCAAACTACTACAAATGTAATATAAAATATTATAATATGAAGTTATAATATTTAATAATGATAAATATCATAATAAGTAATACAAACCTTGTACATTTGGGATTTGTACAATGTTATCACCCCAATCATAGAGCCCGCTATTCCACTTGCAATCAGTGATTGGATGAGCTTGAGTGTGAAAGCAGCTTCTGCCACATTATGAAAGCTGTTATCTCTTTCAATCTGGAATAAGAAACAGAACCTAAAATACATTTCCCAGAAACACTACGGGAAAGACCATGAAAAGCATGCAAACAACAACAATAAAATTAAAACAGGAAACTAAACTGTGTTGACTCTTATCAACCCTAATGTCATTTACCTGTTCCAGTCCTTTAACATTATAGAAACACAGGGTTGGGAGCCATTCCAGTAAAGGGCTCCTCTCTGTTTCTGAAACACCATTCATGAGGTTTCCTTCATAAAACAGATCATTAGCAATAGCACTGATTGTAGGGTGACAACGGTACTGGGTTCTCAATAGAACTGGTTTGTGACCCTAAGAAATTTAAGTGCAGAAAAATAAAGAATTAAAACAGCATTTTTTTTCTTAGTGGAAAAAAAAATCCACAATAATTTTTTTTTTCACAATAATATTTTAAAGTTTAAAAATACTGCCATATTGTACTCTTAGTAAATTACAACCATGATAAAATGAATAAAAAGAATTTTTTTGAATTTACTAAAAATATTTTTATAGTAAACTTTTTATACCAGAAAATTATAAAATATAAACAAATCTTAGACTGTCTAATAAGTATGGTACCTAACATCATGCTTTCATAATCTATATGGAATTGGCCTAACACTAAATTGAAAATAAATCTTTAAAAAAATTAGAAACTGCTGTTGATAACTCATTAACTATCCTCCTTAGGTACAAGCCATTTTTCATTCTGAATCTTCAAAGAAGTTTCCGATTTTCTTAATACATCATAAACCAACTCCCATCTACTTCAGGGCTTTCCTTGAGTATGTTCTTTATTTGCAAAATGTTCTGTAATATTGTTTGAACATTTTGAATAGTTACAAGGCACGCTAATAATATGTAATAAAATGCAGGATTAGTGACCACATGGACAAAGGATCTTCTATGAGGGAGAAATATGTGAGGAAAAAAATCAATCCCCAATACTCTTTTAGGGCATAAATATGTGAAAAGACAACCCACCAAATGGAAGAAAATATTTGCAAATCATATATCTGATAAGGAATTAATATCCAAAATATATAAAGAACTCCTATAACTCAACAACACAACAAACAACCCAATTCAAAAATAGGCAAAGGGCTTGAATAGGCATTTTTCCAAAGATAAGTGCATGAAAAGATGCTCAACATGATTAGACATTAGGGAAACCACAATGAGATACCACTTTATACCCATTAAGTTAGCTGTTATTTTAAAAAATGAAAAATAACAAGTGTTGGTGAAGATGTGGAGGAATTAGAACCCTTGTACATTGCTGTTGGGAATGTAAAATGGAGCAGCAGCGATGGAAAAGAGTTTGGCAGTTTCTCAAAAGTTAAACATAGAATTACCATCAGATCCAGCAGTTGCACTTCTGGGTGTATACTCAGAAAAACTGAAAGCAGAGACTTGAACAGATAATTGGTACCAATTTTCCTAACAGCATTATTCACGATAGCTGAAGGGTGGAAACAACCCCAATGTCCATCAACAGATGAGTGGATAAATAAAATGTGGTGTACACATAAAGCGATGCACTATTAATTTAGCCTTAACAAGGAATAAAATTCTGACACATACTAAAACATGGACAAACTGTGAAAACATTATGCTCAGTAAATAAAGCCAGACACAAAAGGGAAAATAGTGTATGATTCTACTTACATGAAGCACCTGTAATAGGCAAATACAGAGACCAAAAGTAGAACAGGGGTCACCAGGGGCTCAGGGGAGAGGGGAAGGAGGAATTATTGTTTAATAGGTACAAAGTTTCTGTTGGGTTGATGAAAAAGTTCTGGAAAAGGATGGGGTAATGGTTGCACTACACTGTAAATGTACTTAAAAAAAAAAAAAAGTATAAGTACTGTTACATGCCGCCAGTGTGGATAAACCTCAAAAATGTCGTGCTAAGTGAAAGAAGCCAGACACAAAAGGTCACATATTGTATGATTTCAAGCTGTACGATACGAAAATTGTAAGACCGTATGATATGAAATACAGAAAAGATAAATCCATACAGACTGAAAGCAGACTGGTGCTTGCCAGGGGCTGGAGGGAGGGAATAGAGAGTAACTGCTAAATGGGTACAGTTTTATTTTGGGAGGATGAAAATGGTTTGGAACTAGACAGAGGTAGTGGTTGCACAGCACTGTGGATGTACTAAAATGCCACTGAATTATTCATTTAAAATGGTTAATTTTGGGGGGGGAATGATTTGTAAAATTTATTGTTATGATTGCTTTCCACATTTAAATATATATTCACTTTTGAATTTTAATTTTTGCATCATTGAAAGTGAACTTCCAAAATGTATAAACCCAGGCCCCCCAAATCTGCATCCATCCCAGTGAAAAAAAATGGAAGAATGAGCCTCCAAATGATAGCAATTATAAAATGGTTAATTTTACGTTACGTGAATGTCACCTCAACTTAAGACTATATTAATAATTTTTAAATTAAAAAAAATGTGAAGTAGAGCTCTACAACAGCTCTACAATAGGGGACATGGATAACAGAGACATATAGATTTTTTTTTATTTTACAGCAAAATCAATATACTTACTACCCACTACGAAAGTACACAGGAAAAAGATTCATTTCATTCTTAAATTATTAGGGTTCAACTTATCTTTAAGATGAGTACTTTCTAAACAATTCCAATTAAAATAATTTTAGGGCAAGGACTTGTTCTTCTAATATTTTCACTTTCTATCAACCTACACAGTGTATAATCAATAAATGATAGTTCTGTATGAATTCAGCAGTAGTACCATTAAGCAAAGTCGATCAAAAAGCGTTTGTTCCAATCCATTTTCATGAGCTGCATCAGAACCCTGAATAGTAGGAGGGAGCTGTTTGGGATCTCCAACAAGAATCAGCTTTTCACACTCAAACCTAAAAACAGAATTCTAAAAATTAATCTAAGCAATGAGAGAAACATGCATTAACATCATTTACTGCACTATTTTCTAAAATGTATTTCAAAGAATTTGAATACCATGACACGTTCTCAGAACTAACAAGGCTTAACAGTGATAATAAGTGTATTAAAAGGCTTTAAAAAGTTGTGCAATAAAGAATCCTTGGGCTTCCCTGGTGGCGTAGTGGTTGAGAGTCCGCCTGCCGATGCAGGGGACACGGGTTCGTGCCCCGGTCTGGGAAGATCCCACATGCCGCGGAGCGGCTGGGCCCGTGAGCCATGGCTGCTGAGCCTGCGCGTCCGGAGCCTGTGCTCCACGGCGGGGGAGGCCACAGCGGTGACAGGCCCGCGTACCGCAAAAAAAAAAAAAAAAAAAAGAATCCTTTACATAACTTTACTTTTTTCCACATAAAACCTAGTAAGTGTCCCCTGCCTCTGCAAGGACTTAGTATTTCACAGAACACACTTTGAGAAACAATGATTTTTAGAATCTATAAACTTAGAAACATTCTTAGAAGTCATCTGCCTTAAACTCTTGTTTTAGAGATGAAGCAAATTAGGCTCTCAGGGGTAAAATGTCTTTCTAAATAGGAATAGAATATAGTGGGAAAAAGTCCATGTTTTGAAGAAAAACCTATATCCAAATTTTAGCTCTGTTATATTGTGTGGACACAGCAAGTTATTTAATCTCTACAGCTTCACTATTCTTATCAGTAATCCTGATATAATAATACCACGCATGGCTGTTGTAAGGACTTAATAAAGTATGTAATGTGTTCAGTAGACAGTAGGTGCTCCACAGTATTAACCCTCCACCCTCTCATGCAGGGCGTTACTTTCTCCATCCCTGGCTCCTGAGTAGGGTGACCAACTCATTCTGGTTTGCCCAGGACTGTCCCAGTTTAAACACTGAAGACCCCATGATGCCGGAACCTCCCAAGTCCCGGGCAGATCGTGACAGTTGATGCCCTACTCCCTCATCCTTTCACCTGGGAAAAAAGAACTGTAAATTCACCAAAATAATTGTGTGCTTTATTTTACAGTGGTTGTTAATGTTACATCCCCATTTTTTAAGGGGAAGAAAACATACTTTTGGTTATGACGTGTGGAGATTTATTGCCAAATATATTGAATCAAAATATATTAACATAAAAGTACTTGTGAAGTAAAATCTTTCTTGTGCGTTTTCAACACTTACAAACTGGAAATCAGAAGATTAAATATTTACTATAAAAAAGAAAGAAAACGAAACAATAAGGGGGACAGAACAAGGCCTAGGACTGAAGCCTACTGAGTCTGGTCTAGTACTCCTTCCACTACCTTTAGGATTCCTCAATAAGAGATGCTTTGAAAGCACAGTGTTTCAATTGGCTGAGACAGCTTAGAAGATTTCATAGTTTCCTAAATTTTAGTAGACAAATTTTCATTTTCAACTTATTTTTCTTTATCTACTTTCATAATCTAAAAAACATTTTCGGAACCTAAACACTGGAATTATATCAAGGTAAGGAACTAAAGAACATTCTTCAGTAGAGTTAGGTTCTTAAACTATGACTAAAGAGGCACTTTTAGTCTGGCTGAGAAGCCTGCAACGTTCTAGTAGAATCCTAGCACTTGAACTTTCAAGGCTTTAAGAATGTCTAAACTGTGATCCAAGTAGTGATCCAACTGCCTCAATGGTGATCTAACAAAATTTTGATACATTAACCCCTCCTTCAAATTTCCCTCTGGATTCTTTCAAAAAATCAGTTTAGTACTTGCGTTGCTAGGAATTTTCACAAAAGTCTGGGAAGAGTTTGAACTGAGGAAATGTTTGAAATAATTGTAACATCTGAGCATCTTTGGAAAAGAACTTTTTAGGTTACCTTGCAATGGGAAGGAGGGAAGCCGGTTCTGTGATTTGACTACACTCATCCAGGACAGCCACAGGAAATTTAAGATCATTCATGCATGGGAATGGGCAGGCTGCACAGGTAACTCCAACTACTCGGACCTTTATTACAGTAAGAATGTTATTCATTAACAACTATTAAACAAATTAAGAGAATATATTTACCAAAGAACTTACAGGCTAAAATCAGAAATGAGCAGGTCCTAATTTAATCACTGGCAATCAGAAATCATAGGCCACTTTACATTTTCATTATTCCCACATAAGAAATGGAAATTCCTCTAAGAGTTTTATTTATGAACAGGTGATACCAATGAGCAATAGTTTATAGTAAACCGGGCTTTCACTTAGAAAGGTATCAAAGAAACCATTAATAATTATTCTTACATATCAATATGCTGGATAAGGATGTAAAACGGTAAGTAGTTTACATAAATGACTAATTTGCATTAATTGAATGTAGTCAAACTAAGCCCCTCTGGATTTGGTTGGGGAGAAGGGAGGAAAGGTAAGTCTATAACTCAGATAATAAAAAGCTGGTCTGAAGGCTTCCGAGGACTTCTAGAACCCAAACTTGTTGTAGATTGATTATTATTTACAATTCCTTCCTTCCCCGTGACAGTATTACTCATCCACACCCTTTGCTGCGTGCCTCTGCAGTGTCTCCCACCAGAGAAGTAGGTGGAGTATACTTCCCTGCCCCCTGATGTCGGGCTTGGCCATATGACCTCTTATAGCAATGGAATGTTAGCTGACATGCTGGGAACAGAAGCTTTACACGTATTTGTACGATCTTGCCTGCCCTCTTGCACTTCTGCTGTCTGTCAGGAGAGGGGCATCATGCCACAGACAACTGTTCTCAGAACAAGAGGCTTGACCCACACCAAATGACCTGTAGAGTTGTTAAGTTTGTTGTCTTAAATTATTGAGATTTTGTTTGTTAAGCAACATGATTTCAGCAATAGCTGACCAAAACAGGGTCCCAAACAGGTTGACTGTCCCAAATCTCTCGCAGAAAAAGTGGACCCATGTCCACATTGTCCAACAAGCCAACAACCCTCTTTTCCTCCACTCCCTTTTCTTCCCCCCAGGCTCTCCTTTCACAGGAGAAAGCTACTAAATGACTTCTTTCTCTCCTCCCAGCTGACACCCAGACTGGCCTGGATCAGAACTTGATGAAGGAGATGATGCTACTTGTTGCAGCCGGAGACCCTATGTGTCCAGTGTTGGTTCCCAATATCTGGGATTAAGTGTCTGAGCCTCCTAGATTCTTAGGATAGATTTCAGACGGACCCTGAAAGGATTGGTTTGGTTTCTAAGAAAGCACCAAAGATAAAAATGAACTTGGATATTTTGCCTAGTGTCAGGCTTTCTCTTCCTCTGTTTCTCCTAGAAAAAAGCCAAGTTTCGTTTAACTTCCCAGGAATCTATTCCCACCTCTTCACTTTCCCCTTAAGCCTATAAAAAGATATACATATAGGGAGAAAGAGAAAAGATGACTCTGTCATGGAGAGTTGGATGTGTTCACAAATTTGAAGAACGCTTTGCAATAAAACGTGCACTGGATAGACAGGCACACTTCAGTTGAATCTGAGCTATCACAGTCATTTGTTTTATTTAAGGGAAATAAATAGGAATAATACTCCTATCAACAGGAATAAAAGGGATCTGAATCGTATATATAAATTAAATAAATAAACAGACAAACTGAAGCTGTTTCCCCTCACCTGCTTCAGCAAGGTTTTATTGGTCCCCAGTTTATGCTGCTCAATACTTTTCCTCACATAGACTCTTTCCACAGGAGTCAGGTCTTCCTTTATGAGTGCATGTAGTTCTTTTAATTGTTCATTTTCATTTTCTGAGCCAGCATACAAACTTAAAAAAGAATTACATAAAAGAATACCCTTTGATTCCATTTTCACAGCATCACAAAAAAGTAAAATACAGATTTCCTAAATTAACACCAAGAAAAAGATACAGCTTTCTCTAGTCTTCTTCAGAAACCAGATTTAAGGTTAAGACTTATATAAAATTATACTTCTGTGAACATTCTGTGACTTTTGGAATTTAGCGTTCTTACCTGTAAGGTAAAACTGGCTTGGCAATCTTCCTGACACTCCCAACCCTGACAAACTTTTCAAATCCAAGACTAAGAAGCCTTTAAAGAAAACAGGGTAAAATAGATTCTGATTATTTAGAAAATGGAATCTAAAAGTTTCACATAATATTTACATTATTAAAATTAACTTTGCATAACAGTATATTTTATATTATGTAGTTCAATGTGAAATGGCTAACCTCAAAGTAAATATAATGTAGTTGAAAGACTTTTTTATAAAATGTGTTTCAGAGAATTTTTAAAAATGTATTATCTCTTTTTTAAAAGCATGCCTTTATTTTCTTTTATTTTAACTTTATTTATTTATTTTTGGCTGCATTGGGTCTTCATTGCTGCGCACGGGCCCTCCTCAGCTGCGGCGAGCAGTGGCCACTCCTTGCCGCAGTGCACGGGCCTCTCACTGTGGTGGCCTCGCCCATAGCGGAGCACGGGCTCTAGGCGTGCGGGCTTCAGCAGTTGTGGCATGTGGGCTCAGTAGTTATGGCTCGCGGGATCCAGAACACCAGCTCAGTAGTTGTGGCCCATGGGCCCATTTGCTCCACAGCATGTGGAATCTTCCTGGACCAGGGCTCGAACCTGTATCCCCTGTATTGGTAGGTGGATTCCTAACCGCTGCACCACCAGGGAAGCCCAAAAATATGTATCATCTTATGTTGAGGGCTCATGAAACGTTCATAAAATATTTATGTTAGAATTTATCACAAGTAAAATTGCCCTGGGAATTCCCTGGTGGTCCTGTGATTAGGACTTGGCTCACTGCTGTGGCCCAGGTTCAATCCCTGGTCAGGGAACTAAGATCCCAAAAGCCACGCGGCCAAAAAGAAAAACAAAAACTACAAAAAAACAGGGCTTCCCTGGTGGCGCAGTGGTTGGGAGTCTACTTATTAGCTATGTGGCCTCAGCAAAATACCTGACTTGAGTTTCAGTTCCTCATCTCTAACATAAGATATTGTGCAGAGCTGTAATGAGTATTAAACAAGATAAGGTATGTTAAGAAGCTAACACTCTTCCTACTAAATCTCGATGCTAAATATATGGTAGCTATTGCTTTCCATATTATTATGTCTTTAGGGGCAACTTTGTTTTTTTGTTGTTTTTTTTTTTTTTTTTTTTTTTTTTTTGCGGTATGCAGGCTTCTCACTGTTGTGGCCTCTCCCGTTGCGGAGCACAGGCTCCAGACGCGCAGGCTCAGTGGCCATGGCTCACGGGCCCAGCCGCTCCGCGGCACGTGGGATCCTTCCGGACCAGGGCACGAACCCGTGTCCCCTGCATCGGCAGGTGGACTCTCAACCACTGCGCCACCAGGGAAGCCCTAAAGAATCTCTTCTATGTGTTTTCTGTTACTTTTCAGTAGTTAGTACTTACTCTTCTAGCTTCTTGATTTTTCTTTTCTAACAGTCTACAGTTAAATTTTAATCTTAGGCTAAGCAATCTGAACTTCTTTGCTGTTTAGTCTCCAGGTAACTTGTCATTATCTTGAATCAGAAAATGTCCTCAGCCACTGTTTTCGATTACTCAGAAGAAAGAGTACACACAGGTAGAACCTTCCTGGAGGGCAATCTTGCAAAGTATATTAAGAAGCTTAAAAATGTTCATATCTTTTATTCTAGGCCTAGGACGTTTTCTTCAGGAAAGAATAAGAAATGGATACCAAGATTTATGTTTAAGGAACTTGGTTGCAATATTATTTATAATGGCAAAAATCTGGTAAGAACTTACTGATCAAAAATTGCTTATTGTATAAGAAAATCATTGCATTTAATAGAGCTATGAAAAATTTTGGTTTCTAAGCTTTAATACCATAGAGAAATAATCAATGAGTAAAAAAAAGCAGGACAGGGCTTCCATGGTGGCGCAGTGGTTGAGAGTCCGCCTGCCGATGCAGGGGACACAGGTTCGTGCCCCGGTCCGGGAAGATCCCACATGCCGCGGAGCATCTGGGCCCGTGAGCTATAACCACTGAGCCTGCGTGTCCGGAGCCTGTGCTCCGCAACAGGAGAGGCCACAACAGTGAGAGGCCCGCGTACCGCAAAAAAAAAAAAAAAAAAAAAAAAACCAGAACGAACCCAAAAAAAAAAAACTGTTGAATCCTAAGTTTGGAAAACAAAATGAGTGTGTGTATATGTATTAAAAGTCTGTAAAGAAATATAATAAAATATTATCTGTACTGTCTTGCATATTTTCTGCCATAAGCATTAACTTATATAATTATAAAAGTTAATTTTTAAAAAGTCTACACTTAAAAATAACGGATTATTTCTCCTAATCAAACTTTATCATTTGTGTGAAATTCAGATCATTAAACATTGGAATAATGGTAAAACATTACGTAATACTTTCTTTGCTTTTTTTTTTTGGCCACACTGCGGCATGAAGAATCTTAGTTCCCCAACCAGGGATCAAACCCGCCCCATGCAGTGGAAGCACCAAGTCTTAACCACTGGACCACCAAGGAAGTCCCAATTTTTAATAAAATTTACACAAAAATTTTACACCTGTAAAACAGATTGTGCTATTGCCTTCCATGAAACAGCAACAGGCTAACTTATTAGTCTGTAAGTAGGATAAAATCAAATACAAAACCTGACAATTTTGGTACAGGGATGGGATAAAGGTAAAACTAAAGGTAAGATCCCTCTTATTGAAACCAAAAACATAATTTAATCAAACCGTTCAGCTATTTTACTATTATTTGTTCATATAGGCAGGTGGATAAGAGAATAACCCATGACTTGGTTTTGCAATGTTAGCCTACTTCCAAGGTAACAACCCAAAGCTCCTGGGTCAGAGACAAAGGACTTTTACTTATGGCACAGGAAGCAGCATAAGCACCAACATATCTTCTGTGGTTTCCCTTGGTCCCCTTGTCCTATGAGGAGACACAGAGAATCCAAATGGATGCCTGCACTGCAGTGGATTGAGTTGTAGGAAAGGAACACTGAGCTTGGGAATCCACTATTTTTATAACAAGTAGTAAGTAACCCTGCTCTTTGTCTGGGAGGGAGATACTACCTCATCAGTCAAGGTTGCTCACTGCAGACACAACCCTACGAAATGTGCTGAGTAAGAGTGGTCAGGGCCTCGCACGGTAGATTCCTCCCCCAACAATACACGTTCTGGGCTGGACTCAAATTTTTACATGAGCAACTAATAAGTTAGCCTGTTACTGTTTCATGGATGCTGGTTCTTGAGTCAGAGATAAAGGCCTTGCATGTCTGGCATACCCAGGAAAAATGTGCATGGACACTCAGGGCCTATGGTGATCTACCTCTCTCAACAATAACCTAAAACATTAGGTACTGAAATATACCTGTGATACCTACCCAAGAAGTACTCTGTCAACAGCTACATTAGTAGAAGAAGAAATCAAAACTTTCCATGGTCTTGCATTTCCAACGGTAAGAGCTTCACTCTTTTCAAATAGCTGCACAAAAAACAAAATCACCACTGCCAGCAAATAACTCTTTCCTGCTCCAAAAACACCTAATTATTTTGAAAGGGAAAAAAATAAAGGCAATATCATAAATAAATTTCTGAAAAGCACAAGAAATATTTCATCCATCTCCCTCTCTCCTTCATTTAAGTAATTTATTGAAAAATATTAACTGAGTGCTCACTATGTGCTTAATTAGGACAAGGGATAAATACATAGATAATTATTCAAAAGACCTCCATATTTAATGAGACCATAGTCTACTTAGGAAGATAGACAAGCAAAGAACAATGATAAAACAATATGGTAAGTAACATTGTTGGTATCAGAGAAAGAACATCTCTCTTTGCTTTGGTGGAGTTGGGAATGCTTCCTAAAAATAAAAAGAGTAACAGAACTAAATCTTCCAGGATAAGATATCCTGTTAAAGAGAGGGTCATTCTAGGCAGAGGCATGACAAAGCACACAGCTGACAAGTATTTCCATACAGCCTATAGCAAATAGGCAAGAGATGAGGCTGTCTGACAAGGTAGGCAAGGTAGGCAAGGCTGTCTGACAAATCACAAGAGTTCTGCTTGCTATGGCTAAAAGTTTGAATTTTATCTTAAAGACCAGGGGAAATCAATGAAGGATTTTAAGTAGTGGAACTAAATCACATTTTTTTTTTTAGAAAAACTACTTGAGGGAAAATATGAAAAAGGGTAAAACTAAAGGTAGGTCAATTAGAAAGCTGTGTGAGGTGATCATAACAATAATACATGTCAACTTTACTAAGTGCCTCCCATGTGCCAGACACCACTCTAAGCCCTTTATTTATGTTAACTCATTTAATCCTCCAAACCTATGAGACAGATGCTATTATCAAACCCCATTTTACAGGGTAGTCTCACCAACTAGGCTATACGGAGGCATGATGAAGGCTTGGATTGAGGAGGTGCAAATGAGCTGGGGAGGAGAGAATCAATATGAAAAGTGGGTACAAACAAGAAGGGACATCTCAGTGACTGATCTGATGAGGGGAGAGAAACAGCGAGATGGAGGAGTGTTAAGAGAAAGTCATTTAATCTAGGGAGAAAAATAATCTAGGATGACTCCCAAGTGTCTAGCTTGGTCAACAGAGTGGATGTGAAGCAAATCCTCAAAATAGGACGAAAAGTAGGATCAGCTTCAGGGAAAAGGTCTGTGAGAGGAAATGAGTTAAAGAGGGAACAGATTCCAGATAAAAGTAGTAGCTCTGAAGAGGAGACAGTAAAGCTCCTTCACTGAGACAGAACCAGAAGAGTAAGAATAGGTCCATACTTAGGTAAGTTGGAAAAGGAAGGCAGGACATTGAAAGGAGTTTCTGTTATGACCTCCATTTCTTATTTTAGAAGCAAAATCAATTTCAGAGAGAGAGAGTGGGGCAGGGGCAAGGATGGTATTATGGGAAGGATGAAGGTTTGGAATAGCTACTATGAAGGATGAAGGGTGAGCTGACTAGGAATTAATTAATAGAGAGCAACACGTAGATGTCTAGATCAAATCTGGATACTTTGATAATGAGAGTATAATGCTACCCATTCATCAGATATGCTGCCTATTCTCCCTTTTAGGGTGGTCAGTTCTGCTCTCATCTAATAGTTTACTAAAATGGGTCCAGATTTGAAAAATGTAGAGTTATTCTGGAATCTTGTCTGACTAGGAAATTACAAACGAGCTGATTGAGTTACAAAAGCTTATATGACAATGTATTTACTAGAACCGTTTTCTTTTCTTGCTTCTTACCATGTATGATCGTGATAGGGAGGGTATGAATTCCCAGTTCCTTCACTTTTTCACCACTTTC